ACCGGCTTCTTTTTCGGATCCACAGCGAGTTTATGTACTGCCAGATCAGGACTAATGCCTGGCATTTCATGGACTTCAAATGCAAAGATGTCCTTGTATTCTTTCAATAGGTTGTGAAAGTCGTCACCAAGGTTTCTCAGAGCAGTCGTCCCAACTTTGACTGTTCGGTCAGGACGTGAGTCGTCTAAGATCAGGTCCGCATGCTCACCAGCCGGCTGAGGGCGGAACTCATCCGGCCGCTCCTCTGCCAATGATTGCTATTTTCTTGCTTTTCTTGCGGACTCTGTCTGGGACGCCTTTCTCTTTTTGTCGCCTGTTTCTTGAACAGGCGCATTCTCCTTGACATTGTCAAGGTCTGTTTTTTCTCCACTTGACCCAGTGGCCATAACAGTGGGCTTGACATCCGAGAGATAGCACTCTCGGGCCATCCTCTGATCTCCCCTTAGGGAGCCTACTGTTCCATTATCCCTCTCAAACTTAAGCAGCATAAGAGACGGGATTATAACAGCCTTGGAATTATTCAGGGTTGGTCGACCCAGAATCATGTTGTAGGCCGAGAGTTCCTCTACTACTAGGAACCGGACTACCATGTGTCGTCCTTCCCCTTTTTCGCCCAGGCGAATGGGTAAATCTACTCGTCCCAGTGGGTGGACGACTCCTCCTCCAAACCCTATTAAAGGGTGGGAGGCCGGATGTATGCAGTCCGTCTGATATTTCAGTTTTGACAAACATTTGCTGCTGATGAGATCTGAGGAGCTCCCGGTATCTATGAGGATTCGGCCAACTCTCTGGTTGGCCACTTTACATTCAATAACGAGAGGGTCGTCATGCGGCCCCCTTACCCCTCCTAGATCCTCTTCAGTGACGACAATCTCAGGAAATGTATATTTGGACGGCCGTTCTTGGTGAACAGAATTTACATCTAACCGCCTTATATTATTTTTGTTGCCCCTAATAGTGGGGCCGCCTCCTGAGAAGCCGCCTGCAATGGTGTAGACGACTGCATCATCTGTATCGGAACTGTCGGCCTGTTGATTCTTTTTGGCCGACTGCTTTTTTGAGGAAGTGTTCCCCGTAGATTTCTTGACATAAGTGTCAAGATCACCTTGCTCAGCCAAGCGGTCTAGGTACCGCATGAGACTGATGCAGTCATTGGTGTGATGACCAACGTCATCATGATAAGCACAGATTTTGTCTTGGTTCCGGTTGTTTGCAGAACCCTTCATGGGGACCGGCTTCTCAATTGAGAACCGTCCCTTTATTTCTTTTAGGATAAACTGGTTATCCTTGTTAAACACATACTTTGGGGAGTATGGTTTGAATTCTTTTTTCTTTTTCTGGGCCGGCTGTTTAGAGGAATCAACCGCCCAGACCTCTTTTCTTTTCTCATCTTTGTTAGACGACTGTTTCTGTCGTCCTTCTCTTTTGTCGAACCTTTTCCCGTCCGACTGTTTTATCGTACACAGATCAGTCGCCTGTATATAGGCTTCTGCTTCAATCAAGGCCTCTTGAAGAGTCGCCACCCTTTTTCGAACTAAATCAAATTTGAAGGTAGACCCGTCTTTGAGACCTCTAAAAAAGTCAGTATAAGCTACCTCATCCGGTAACCCTTGAATCTGTATTCTCATCAGGTTGAACCGCCTGATGTAAGAACGAAGCCCCTCCTTCTCGCCCTGCTGAATTGTTCCCAAATCAAGGGTCGTTTTCTTCGCAGGGATGTTCATGGCGAAGTTGGAGGCAAATAAGTAAGCAAGCGTCCTGAAGCTGTTTACACAACCAGTCGGCAGGTTGCCGAACCATTGCTGTGCGATTCCCTTGAGAGTCGCTGGGAAACACTTGCACCAAGTGGGATCATCCAACCCTTGAAGGTACATCAAGTTGGTGAATGCCATCAGATGGTCTTCTGGGTTAGTAGTGCCGTCATAGGCGCCTACTAGTACATTTTTTACTTTGGCCGGCTGAGCGGCTTCAGTAATTTCCTTGGAGAAGGCCGACGGCTGTTCACCAAGTCTAAGCAACCGTAGCTGCCAGTCCATAGGTTGGACGTTTTTTGCTGCAGGTCCACCAAATGGAGGTGGCTGCATAAAATACTGTTGTTGCGGCACAAATGGTAAGTTTGGTACCGCCTGGGCACTATGAAAGCCGGACTGACGGGAGGTGCCGCCTGACTGACTCTCATGGTACGACTGAGTATGCCTCATCGAGGCATTTCGCAAACTGTCTTGAAAATTTGAAGTAGAAGCCGACTCTGACAATCGGTCACTCTTCTTCTGCTCTAGCAGTAGCCGAGCATCTGTGAACGTTTGCTTTGACCCGTCCGCCTGAATATGACGAACCGGTTTCCTATTTCCCGTAGGATAACGGAATTTTGTGAAATCAAGAGCAGGTGGCTCCCGCTTCTTGGATTTAGGATGAGGAGTCGCCTCTCGCCCTTGAACTGGCTTCCTCTTCAGTGAAGTGGAAGGTTTTTTGGCCGACTGCTCTTTGACTGAAGCAGGCGGCTTTTTGTTGATCAACTCTTGAATCTCTCCCTTGAAGTCCCTCATGAAGGTCATGAGTTCGTTCCTTGTGATGGGAGCAGACCCATCAGTCAGCTGTTGCCGAGCAGGCGGTGCGCCTGCTGGCTCGCTTCCTGTTTGAAGATGCTCCCGTTCCCTCCTTTCGGTATGACGGGTACGTCGGGCCCTTAGGGTCCCGTCTGGAGCTGTATGAGTTTCCACTTCAAATTCACTTTTGGTGTCATGGTCCGACTGAACTTGAGGGTCGTTTAGGGGACGCCTCTCTTCAGGAGTCGGTACAGACTTGGATGCCATCTCTGAAGTACTCTCCCCACAGACGGCGCCAAATGTTTCGGGGTTTTCTGATGTCCTGCGGGAGAGTTACAATTCCGAGACTGGAACCGGACGCCTGTACCTGCAAAATAACGGAGACTCCTGAGAGCTCCGCCTCCAACGGTCAAGTTAGTACCTGATTAAGGAGTAATTAATACGGAAATTAAAGTAATAAGACCTCTCTAGGTGAGAGTGTTTAATGTTGGTAATCTGCTTTGCTAGCGAGATTAGCCGGTTATTAGTGTTCCGTAATGTTTCTGTTCTTCTCTGTTCTTCCGGTGAGATTAATTGCTTGATCAATTGCCTCTCAATTGCTTCATCCCTTTTAATGAGGATTAATTAAGTATTTATAGTCTTGAGAAGCGTGCCACTCTCTAGGTTTAGGGTAAACCTAGGGCTGACCGGGCCTCTAGACAGGATTGGGCCTTGTTGGCCGGTTTTCCCATTTGGCATGGGTGGACACGTGGCGTGCCTCGATTGGTCCGTAGAGGACGTATCTGTGATTGACACGTGGCAGGCTCCTATTGGCCTTCGTGAAGGACACGTGGCGGAACCTGGTTGGTCCACTTGTCAGACGGTGATTGGTGGATAAAAATCCCCTAATCACCTCGGGTTCGGGTTTAAGTATGATAGGTTTGGATATTGTGTGCTCCAACTCGATAGACTCTCGAACGGGTATTGGTCCCCGGGTACGGAGATGGCCTTTTATCTTAGGGTGGACTACTCAGAAACCGACCCGAGTAACTTTACGGGTATGTCGGAGGTACTGAATACTACGTGCCCGATCCAATTTAGTTTGCCGGATCCTTCTGCAGAGTCCGATAGGACGACCCGAAATGTAATAATTATAATCATTCTTTTTACCATTGAAATTGCTGGTGCAGGATTCTTGTTTTGGGCCTTCTTGAAGAGGTATGTGAAGTATCGAGATATGGCCCAAACACTTGGGCTTGGGCTATTGCCCACAGCTGGGCCCAAAAGGTTTAGTTATGCTGAAATAAAATCAGCAACAAAGGATTTTTCTGAGGAAAACATCATAGGAAAGGGTGGTTTTAGTGATGTTTACATAGGGAAGTTGCAAGATGGTCGTCCGGTGGCTGTTAAGTGCTTGAAAAATGTCACTGGAGGTGACACGGAGTTTTGGGGTGAGGTGACTATCATAGCACGTATGCACCACCTTAATTTGGTTCGTTTATGGGGCTTTTGTAATGAGAAAGGTCAAAGGATTCTGGTCTACGAGCATGTTCCTAATGGATCACTCGATAAATATCTCTTTAGATCAAGTCACGGTGTGTCTGATGGTAGAGACAATACCAATGAGACGGAAGCAATGATCGATCGCAAACAAAAGGCGATACTTGATTGGAATATCAGGTATAGGATTGCCCTTGGTGTGGCAAGAGCAATTGCTTACCTACATGAAGAGTGTTTAGAATGGGTCTTACATTGCGACATCAAGCCAGAGAATATACTTTTAGGGGATGATTTTTGCCCCAAGGTTGCGGATTTTGGGCTGTCTAAACTCAAGAAGAAGGAGCAGATTGTAACCAAGTCAAGGATTCGTGGCACACGAGGCTACCTAGCGCCCGAATGGGTGAAAAATGACTCCATCACATCTAAAGTTGATGTGTTTAGTTTTGGCATGGTACTTTTGGAAATTGTGACTGGGGCAAGGAATCTAATTCAAGGACCTTCCTCTGTTGCAAGTGAAGAATGGTATTTACCACATTGGGCATTTGAAATGGCAATCGAAGAAAGGAGGATAGAGGAAATTTTGGATCATCAAATTAAGCACTCTTACGATGATAAGGCGCACTTCAAATTGATCAATCGAATGGTGAAGACAGCAATGTGGTGCGTTCAAGAGAGGCCGGAGATGAGACCATCCATGGGAAAGGTTGCTAAAATGCTTGAAGGCACTGTGGAAATCATGGAACCACCAAAACCAACAATTTTCTTCATAGCAGGGGATAATTGAGCAATGAAAATAACTATGTACATACTCTTTCCAAAGATCTTGTAAAATCATTATTTTGGTTAAGCACAACTTAAATTGTTTGTTTCTATTATCTCAATGTATGAATCAAATGGCAGATTTTGCAAGTAGTATTTCCTGAAAATGGATCAATTTCACCAACTAGCAAAAGAACTTCAACAAAAAAAAATAGCTTCAGATGTTGAACACTGAATTTCTCCAGCAGTTTGTTCATCTATATATAAGCATTGAGGTTCAAAATCAAGTACTACGTATTTATATGGATACCAAAAAAATATTCATCAAAATTACCAAGCAGCTTGTTGATCTATCCCAGTTGCAATGGATTTTCACCTGACAGGCACCGGAGATGGCAACATAGGTTGCCTCTTAACAGGAGATGAATGATAGAATCCATTGAATAACAATTAAATTCAAGCATACCACAAAACTATCTACAAAAGCTACGTGTTGTAGCCATGTTCATTTCTCAGATATTCCGGGGTTTCATTCATATTCACTCATATGGATTTCGAAAATTCTTGAGTAACTCTGGAATATCATAGCCAAGCATGTCATCAACAGCTTGAATCATCTTAGGTTTCAACTTTTCAAATTTGTCAATACTATAGCCACCTAGAACTTCCCTGAAATGCTCCACATATGGAAAATCGCCTGCTGGCAAATGGAATTCCCTCTGAACCTGTTTCGCAAAGTTTCAATGTACATAGCATGTGAGAAAATAGAAATGGAGAAATGAGAAAAGACAGAAAAGAGAGATACGCAGAAAAGAATATGAACCTTGAGAAATTCATCTTCAAGATTATCAATTAATCGTTGTTGAGCTTTAGCTTTCCCCATCATCGAAGGCATCTCTTTCTTCAGGTGACTAATTATGTAAGCGTGAATCTTAGCTGCTCGGGCACGTTTCACAAATTCATTTATCTGTGTTGTGATAAGACAGTAAAATTAGTCTCCGGTCAAGAAGGGGGAAAAAGATATGAGCAAATATTTAAAAAAATTAGGGGCATACTCGTCTATCACAAGCTTTCTTTGGAATGTCCTTCAGATCGGTAAGAAGGTCATTCTGCTCTCTCTCAAAAAGTTCCTTTCCCATGGGACCAACTGCTTCAGCATCGATAGGCTTGTCATTGAATGAACTGAAAAAGATGAAATGATGAATCATGGCTTGATGATATTGATTTAGCACATATTAACATCTCCAATGTTTAATTGCAGCAAATCATAATTTAAAGCTCAGCTCACAAAACCTCAAACCACCAAAAGAAAGAGAACAAATAAAATATAGAGGACTCAGCTTTGAGGAAAATATAATTTTAGGCTTTAAGCACTAGAAGGAGTGAATGACATGAGCTGAAGCCTGAAAAGTCAGTTAAATAAACGACGAAAGCTAGTCTAAGCAACAATGTTAACAGTAGTAATATAGTATACAAAGGATCCAGCAGTTTGTTACCCTTCAGAGATTTCAGGCATAAGGTAAACATGCAAATATGATTAGCCAATAAGTTAGAAGTTTAGAACCAGAAGGCAATACTTACCCAATATAGACACGAGAGACCTCAGGGGTATTTAGGACCTTCCCAAGCGACCACATCAACGCACCATATACTCTCATCAACTGCAATATATAAAATAGGCCACAATCATTAAATCCTTTTTAAAAAGTTATTTAGACCAAGTATAAATACATAGCCTTTCCCTCAAAAAAAAAAAGTATAAATACATAGCCTATAGGACTAGGGTTTTGTAAATCAAAGATCTTACCTGCTGGGTATAGACTTGGTCAGCTTTATTCAGAACAACACGGATTTTGTCATCATGACCGCGCAGAGATGAAATTACCCGCTTAAATTCATCACTTATGTCAAGCTTGTGAGGATCAAACAACAAAAGGATAAGGTCACACTTTGCAGCAAACCATGAGATCACTCCAGTAAAGTCATAGCTTCTCTGAGTTCTCTGCTTCTCTCCAGACAAAACTCCAGGTGTGTCAACAAAAGTTATGTGCTCCAACAGCTGATAAAAAGCCAGAATTTTTTTAAATTAGCAAGATGCAAATTAACAGCTTTAGTGCTTGACATTAAAAAAATGAACTATAGATTAGTCCCTTACAGGATGTGGCATTTGCGAACACTGGAATTTTGATAAGAATGCCCCGCCAAAGTTTGTGAGACCACTGAATGGCATGTCCGCTTGGACAGCAATCGTGTTCCCAGGAATGCTCCTCTCATCAGGTCCAGACTGAACATAGGACAAAACTTAGTTAACAAAAGGAAGAAGAAAGAAATGGACATTGCTTTTGATCTGCAGGATCCAGACTCAACAAAAATTATAATGCAAGCTGGAGAATACCATGACGACAACAAAACGATCTGTAGTAGGCTCTGGTCCAATATGAGCTCCTGTTGGAAGTCAGACAGCAAAGACAACATCAGATAACCTAAGTAATAGGTCTGAACACAAATGGACGCACATGTATGCAATGTAAATGACCTGGATATTCACATTTCAGCAAATGTTTTATGAAGGTAGTTTTCCCAGTAGAATATTGTCCCAATAGCATAACCATCGGTTTGGCATCAAAATCACTATTTGTCTGCAAAAGAAAAATACTGACTTCAAACTCAACAACATAAACATAGTATTCATACAATCAACACCGCTTACAAAAAAAACTGACTTCTAACTCACCAGTGGAGGTGAAACAAAGTCATGAAAGCGGTAGGTAGTCTCCAATGGCTTCAACTTTTCAATGTATAATCTCTTCAAACCATCAACTATGGAAGTTACTGCACTAAGGGGTATCTGGCACAAGATAATATTGAGGGGAAAATATCAATGAAACAATCAAAATCGATAATTCTTAAATGGAGTATGTACATAATTTTAAAAAATACCCAAAAGTATATTATATTACATAAGAAAACAAGAAATGCCTACCAAGATTAAAAAAAAAATCAAGAAAAGAAGCTTATTAGTCTATTACAAAGATTCATTTCTAATGATTCTGCTGAATATTTAAAAGACAGTCCTGGAAACACTATTTTAAAAGAATAACACACACACACTCACATTGCAAAACAAAACTTGTAGGTAATCTGAGGAAAATAAGAAGAATATAGAAAAGTATAACAATAAAACAAATGGTAGCAAATGCATTGTTGCAATCCTTCTCTTAAAAGACACATGCATACATGCTCCAAGTTCCTCAGAGAGACAAAAACAGCAACTGAAACCAGAAAATATAGAGGAATGAGTGAAATTTCTGCTACAACTAAGCATGTCATTACCTTCTTTGAGGGCTTTGAACTGAACCAATTCGATGTAGGTGGTGACTGTTGTTGAGGAGATCCTTCAGCATTAACAATAAAATGATTAATAATAACTTAGATGGAGCCTTTTTACAACTTGTGACAAATGAGCAGGCCTAACCATTTAATTCAGGTTCAACATATGTTGTTGTAGTCTTCTTCTTCTTCTAATAACAGAACAAGTACATTAGCTATATATTGATAATAGATAGAGTTAAATCAGACTAATCAGTTATAATTTCAAGAGATAATACTCACAGCAAGTAGCGCATCCAGCCCTGCCATTATAGGGAGTTGGATGTCCTCCATAGCTAAAAATCACCGCCAATAAAATACAGCTAATTAATTGTATAATAGAAATATGAAGTATGATACAAGAGGATACAAATTTGCAGTTTATCAGGCAAATATTGCTACAATAGAAGTATGAAGGTTGTCCAATTCATAATGCTTTCTTTTAGTACCAAGAGCGATGGATAACAAATCATGACAAAAAAACAAGTTCTAACTGCAGGCAACATGCCTATGAAATCACTACCATTAATGACTTGTCAACAGGACCATTCATATCAATAATAGCTGAACTTTTTTGATGTTCCCAAATCTGCTGATCCCTTTTTCAAGGGCAGCTGCCTCAGTCAGGTCTGGGAGTCTAGAACTCTGGATCATGACAAAAGTATATTCATACCCCCCCCCCCCCCTCTTCACAAGGAAGTATAAAAAAAGTTGGAAATTCTATTTTGAACTTGTATTATTGGTTAGACTCACCCATAACCCATTATTTAAATAAAAAATACTAGTATAAAAACTCTTGAAGCAAGCAAACCGATCAGTACATAAAGACATAGTCTGATATGCGACATGATGCAACAAAATCAAGCTTGTAATGGTATGTTTGCCATTTACATTGTTACCAAATTAAGACAAAATTCATAACATCTTGATACATCACAAATAGGGGTGAGGGTGGATGAGCAAAATAAGTAGGAAAGAATGGTAAACTTTTTTGCAATGACGCATGACTTGTAGGCTAAATCTGCAATTTAATGAGCGAAAACAAAATATTCACTTAGACACTTACCTGCATTACTCAGAAGATCAGAAGTCAGCTCCTTTCCCGCTTGAGCCAAAGATATAAGCTGTAAATATAAAATCAAAAACATTCCTTCTAAGAAAAAATATAGAATCACTATATTCACTATAACATTAAATAATCCACATAGTGCCATGAATTACACCTATGACGTAAACTATGCTATACAAAATAACCATTGACTTCAACCAATAAGTACCAACCTGCATCGCAGCAACAAATTCTTTAAAGCCCAAGTAACCTTGTCTCTTGGTATCTGCTAGTGCCCATACCTTAAAAAGGATATATGTTAGAACCATGTCAAAAAGCAATCACTTACCAATTATGATAGTAATAAATGTGTTGATCACCAAAACTTTCATAGCCTAAATATTGAGCTGATTAACATCTACTCTAGAAAATAAGTTGATTAATAAAATAAGTAACACCTATTGTATATTTGTCGGTAACTTGAGAAATCCCCCATCTACGTCATGTTGTCACCCTAGGTGAGCACATCATTACAGCAATTGGAATACAATAAATGAAATAACAGAATGAACTTCCGAGATAAATTTGAAGAATCCACAACCCCCACCCCACCCCAACATCACAGCTCATGCCACTAGAAAATATTTCGTAGGAGATTACGTAATCATATCACATGAACCGTAATCAAGCTTCATTGAGCTCAACTCGATATACTCTTTGATCACTAAAACATTCACCAGTCAAGTAGAGTAAGAGAATTAATATTGACTTATTGAGTACATACACAACAAAACACCACCACCAATTGCCCTACATCGAATTTGGAACAATCCCAATATCAAACAATATAACATTCCAAACAGTTAGAGATTGTTACCAAATTCCTAGTGATATGCTCAAAATGAAACAGGCAATAGAATACTACATTTCTTAAAATTAAAGATGTGGGCAAATATCAAAACTCAAAATACCCATTTCACCAAAAATAAAACATAAAATTTCAACTGAAAACTTCAGCTGAAATAAGAACCCTAGAAATGTATATTTTAAAAAATCGACAATTTTTGTAAAATTACCTGCTTAAGGTCAGATCGAGACAAATTAGACATGGCAAAAAACTTGGTTGCATCATTTCCAGTAATACGACCGTCTCCATCTACCCAGAAAAAAAAATTTAAAAAAAAAAAAAAAAGAGTAAATTCATAGCAATAATTCCAAAAATAAAAAAAATTCCAAATTCAAAAATTAAAAATTTGGGGAAATTAATGAAAAAAAATTACCTGAATCAGCAATAGGAAACCATTGCTGATAAATTTTCTGGTGTTCTTTAGAACATGTAGAAATTGGGCCGGTAGATATCTCCATTTTTGGGTTTTTTTTTTATGAATTTTTAAAAAATTGCAATGAAATTGATTGTTTAACTTGAATATATAATGCAAAAATTCAACGACAAAAATTTAAATCAATTGAAAGAAAAATAACAAATTGGGGAAGCTCCACTTTTAGTGTGATTTGGAAGAAGAGCTAACTTCAAAATTTTGAAATGGAGGAAGAGACAAAGAGTAGAGGCGGAAAATTGCAGAGCCTTTATAATTTATAAATATTAATTAATGGAAAAAGTGCCACTGTTTACTTCATTTTTACTGTATTTTTCATTTTTTTTTTCAGGATGAACTCATGTAAACGACGTCGTTCATGACTCTTTTTTTTCACATTTTGTAATTTTTCAAAATTTTGGGTTGCATTTGTCGTTTTAGAAAATGATCATTTTGAAATTTGAGTTGTTGGGCAAGTATGAATTTAAATCTAATTATCTCAACTATAATTCAAATCTAATTATTATTTGGGGAATTGCGAAAATTGATGTAAACTAGTATGGGATGAGCGGTGGGTTCGTGATAGACATGGCGATTAAGACCCATGTATTTTATTCTTACCTTTATCGGCATTTATCATGCATGTTTGATACAGTAATATTGAATTATGATATAAATTCTATTAAAGATGTTTGACTATGTTAGTTATTTTGTGACAAAGGGAGTTATAATCTAGTACTCGAAGTCTCGAAGAGTCATAGTAAATATCATTACTCCTGCTTAAGGTCTAGCATACATAATCTAAAGAAAACAAATACTTCATATACCATGCTAGCAAAAATTACATTGCAAGTCTTGCTAACAGAAAACTGCATAATCCAATCCAACTATTTTTCCCATCTGCATACAGTTGATTTCTGCTTAGATTCAGTAAATTGATGAACTGAAGAAAATACAAGTATTAAAGCAACGAGACTTCATTACAAGATCTGATCATCATTGACCCAAAGAATAGCATAAGGGGTAACAAAACTCTAATAGTTTTCCAATACGTAGACAAACTTGCTCTCTAGTAACAAATCTGTAAAATTTTCTTATAGCTAAAAATTGATTAACCAGTACATCCATGAGAGATTTCATAGCCAGAATTTGGCTAAGTATTAGCTTCAACTTATAGGTAAATTCCACTTATGTACAGAATTCTAATATCCATTCATAAGACTTAAACAACACAAATTAACCAGTACATCCATGAGATATTTCATAGCCAGAATTTGGCAAAGTTTTAACTTCAACTTATAGGTAAACTCCACTGATGTACAGAATTCTAATATCCATTCATAAGACTTTAACGACACAAACATCTGACAAGTGCAAGAATTATTTGCTGAAGTATAACAAGAAACCAAAAAAAGAAGCTTCCTTAAACAAGTAGTTGGAGCAATCTGGTCTCAACAAAAGTTACAAAGAGATCTGAAATCAAGAATTTAACCAACAAAATTGAGAGCTCCATAAGATGGCAGCAGAAAAGATACTAAGGCTTTCTTTGCGGGAGAGGCAAAAGCTTAGGGTCTAGACGAGTCTTAGAAAACACTTGAACTTCCATTTGACCTCCAAACATACGATGACGTGCTAACCAAAACAGCTTGTGGCGCAATTCATGCCTCTCAGCTTTTATGTCCAGTACACATTTCTGGACCCTTGTCTCAAATTGTTCTCGGGACTTTTTGTCAATGTGAGGTGACCGTAGAACAGTATATAATACTCTAGTTTCAGGCAGTGAAATCTTCCGTGTATGAGGTGGAAGGCTTTCCAAAAATGGACGGCCAAAAGAGCTAATCACTACACGGATCTTTGTACTCATGGCTTAGCCTGCTTTACAAATTGCAGAACAATTGACACAATAAGTATAAGCACAACATATAGCTATAAAGATAAATCATTTCCACATATGACTATCAACAAAAAAAAACATTAAGCATTGCTTTCAAATTAGTGAACTGTGAACAGAGCCTAGTTTTCTTCCTTCTTTAATTTTTGTGATGTTATCGCTTCTCCAAAACTCCAAAACTTCCCCCAAACACCAAATTAGCATAATTATCGTAGAAACACTTTCCCCAAAATAACTATATTGAGATTTTCTAGCCTGAGTATCGTTACAGGTGAAAAATTAATAGCATAAGTAATACAAAACTTCCAAGTTCAGCAAACAAATTATCTGAGTACCAAATTTACAACCAAAGGCCATTGGTGTAGTCTAGGAAGGGGCCTTGGATAAGTAGGTCGGGTTCTTCTTAACAAGGATGAATCTGCATACGACCCAAAAATTTAAGACAACTCCGTACTTTCCAGAAATGATCCTCAGGCATTTCTGATCATTAAGGCTTTACAACAAATCGCTGTCTTCACAGCAAACCTTAAAGGACTTCCTAATGAATTCTCTTGACCTATGGCACAATGAAAGCCTAATAGGTCTTTAAAGCATATCCGTGGTATATAAATAAACTGCAAAGGAATCACTTAAGGTTCAATCATACCATAAACCCAAAAATATTTTCCAGCTCACTATATTTCCATACTAAATTTCAAAGTTCTCAGGTGCTTCTAGGATAAACTAGTGTAAAGATCACAAAAAATAAGTTGAAAGAAGAATGAGAAAGAATTTGTCATTTTGTCTTTGTCTAATTATAAATTTATTACAACAATACCCCCTTCCCACCACCCCCCCCCCCCCTCCCCCACCCCCACCCACCCCAAGGCCCGACCAAATTCGATCTCAGCGAAATAAAAGGTAGCACATCAAAAGTCATCCTAAAAAAGGGAAACAAAACTTGACAATCTTGGCACTCAGAAGGTCCAACCACTTTTACGTTAGCCAGAATGTGAGCAACGAAATTGCTTTCACACAATAAAAACCCAAACTCCAAAAGACCAACAGCAAGGCAAATCTCTAAAGACTGGAGTAAATTTACCACATCCCTCCCTTAACATTACAAAAAACTTCATTCCACAAAGACCGCAGCTCAATATCCTTAATGTTATAACACACAAAAAAGTCGAAGTCTTCAATGTACACAACAAACGAGTTAAGGAGTGAGTATATAAGTTTCCTCTTAGGTGCAAGTGTGAGTAGACTTTGTCCCACATTGGAAAAGAAAGCAAAGAGTTTTCAGTTTATAACCCAAGCGGACTACTCCACCTATTGCCAATTGGTTTTAGGATGGAACCTCGCTGTGGGCTCCGGTTTCGGGCTTCTCACCCTTGTGTTCTCCCCCGTGTGTTTTTGTTCAAGGGGGAGTGTATAGGCTCACACTTGAGGGGGAGATTGTTAGGTGTAAGTGTGAGTAGACTTTGTCCCACATTGAAAAGGAAAGCAAAAGGCTTTCGGTTTATAACTCAAGCAGGCTACTCCTTCTATTGCCAATTGGTTTTAAGATGGAACTGTGGGCTCTGTTTATGGGCTTTCGGGCTTCTCACCCTTGTGTTCTCCCCCATTTGTTATAACATTTCCTAGTCCAAGTAACACAAACTTATTCTCAATCTAGTCACAAAGCTAGTATAAGACAAAGCATACAGTACAAAAGAGCGGAAATGATAAGTATGGAGAACCAATGACACAAAACTCTTTGCCAATCCTGAACAAATACATCCGATTCACCATCACCTCTACCCCTTTGCCAATCCTAAACAAATACATCCTGAACAAAACAGTTTCTTCTCTGGCACGCTTAGACTTGAAAGAAATTGAAAAAACAAAAAAAAGAAGTTTATTTGATTTGATATGATGTGAGGCGAGATTGAGGAAAGATTACAATGCAGTTTGCTCTAACTTTGTAATACCAAATAAACTTTTCACTCTTCATTCCTTCTTTGCTTGCTCAAATAATATACGTAGAGTAATCAGATATAAGTGCATTAGTTTTCTTTTTCTCGCTTCCCATTTCTAAGATGATCATCATAGAATTATGTGAGAATGATAATCATTCTGCTTCACCTGAGCTCTATTGGGATAACACTAAAAAAATGATGCTCAAGGAGATTGTAATATAGAGGCTTTTGGTTTACGCTTGTTCGTTAACTTAGTGAAAATGACTTGGTTGATAGGAGTTAGGAAGGATATAAAGTATATGGATTTGCACGAGGATGACCCATTGGATCGTAAGGGATGGAGGAAGAAGATTTGTGTGGATGAACACACGGAATAATCATATTTGGTTCATGTAGCCGACTCCACATATGGGATTAAGGCTTTGATTTATTGATTGATTATATTTATGCAAACAGATAAAGATGTTACTATGTTAGTGAATTGGATGCATTTTTGTTCAAGATTGTTAAAGAATCCTGTGTCATTGGTTCGTCATTATTATCATTTCCCTTGTTTACTTACACAAACATATAGAGAAATCAGCCATCATAAGAGTATTAACTTTCGTTTTTTTTCACTCCATATTCCAAAAACCATTAAAAATTTCAAACTTGAATGAACAGATCCTCCTAATATCATACTTAGAATCCTAACATTAAAGGGTAGTGCAACACATTAGCAACCAAATTTGATTCAATTATCTCCAAAAATACACAATTTAGGGATATTTGATTCAATAATCAAATTAAGCTCATAATTTTCTTTTCTGCTAAAATAATCGCTGGTTATGATGTTTCATAATCTTAGAATGTAGAAACAATAGTTGAGATTTTCGAACCCTACACTTAATGCACTGACAATTAAATTAGATTAGATCAAAGATAAACCCTAGATTATGAAATTGATATGATGATAACAAAAACAAACAACTTACATCAGAAGCTGCTTCAATGGGGGATACAAGTATTGGAAGGCGCCGTGCGATTCAACGGAGAACGTGAACTGCGATTCAATGGAGAACGTTGAGTTCGCTTCAATGGATAGAGAGGCAGGGTTTGAGCCCTATTAAAAGCCATTGACCCGCCACACTTATAAATGGGTTAGATCCGTCTAATAAATAAACGGGTAGATGTTTATACGATCCTCTAATTATGGGACAGAGCGGACCTTATAAGAAGTTAAAGTAAACCTATTTTTTAAAAAAAAAAAAAAAAAAAAAAAAAAAGTAAACCTATTTTAAAAAATACTGGTATTAGTTTTTCTTTATTTTTCCATTTCGTAAATACTATTTTCACACACCAAAGCTTTTATCAATTGTTTGTAAGATTTTCTAAATTTTTTTTTATTTTGAAAACGGCTAAAATTACATTAATTAACTAAGTTTACAACAACGAAAGGAAAGCAAAGTAACATAAGTTACTATAGTCTATAGGCATAAGAAGACCTTACACACATCAACTAAGGTCATTAACGATATTTACCTTTAGAATATTACGAGTGAATGCAAAAAAGGCTTACCAAATTACACTTAAACATGCGATGGAACCATTGATAGAATGGAAAAGTTGGTGATGATGTTTCCGTGTGGTGCAA